GTATCATTTAACTCAATTTCAGGCTATTTGAAATTCTAATATGTAACAATAGTTATCAGTCAGGATCTAAACTAATGGAATTTTGGTCCAGTAAGTTGTGCTTGCCAAATTACTTCTATTTTATATCCCAAACTTTTCATGCATTTATTTTTAGTGCATGATATATATAAATTATAAGCTATAAATAAATGTAAAATACCATGAACAGAAAAGCCTACTTGGCATAATGCTACCTCTATTTCAGCAGAAACAGTATAAAAAAATTTTCAAACAATAACCTAATCATGCTTTAAAATGTGTAATTTGTAGTTCAACCTAATATGTTAACACTAAGGACTTTAAAATTTTTCACGCACAATAAAGTTTATCACAGAGACAATATTAAGAATTATGACAAAGGTATGACTTCAGTATTTTAGATATACATGAGAAAATGATACTTATATAACCTGTGAAATATTATCTGGATTTAACATAACATGTAACAAAAATTTATGGAAAAAAAAAAGAGTCCTGTTGATCCATCTGGGTTGTCTCATCTACTAAACTTAAAACAACAACAACAAACATTCAAAGTCAGCCTTTATCATTCATATGTTTATCAAGCCTTGCCCTAAAATTCCTTAACTTTACTGCATCTTCCATATCTGAAGGCAACACATTCCAAATGCCAACAACCCTGTTAGGAAAAATAAAACTGTCTTAGCTGAAAGTGACTACTATGCTGCCAAACTTTATATTTTGTCCCCTAGTCCTACCATTGTCACCATTAAGCCCAAAAAAAAGATGATGCTTTGATACTATCAATCCCCTCATTAATCTTCTTTCTTCCAAGAAAAAAATTCAGAGATCTTAACTTGTCTTTATACAACAACCTTTCCATCCCAGGTATTATCCTAGTCAGTGACATAACCAGGAAAGAAAATGGGATTTAGGAACTAGGTACACATTTAGAAGGAGCAGTGGGATGATAGGTATAAAAAAGCAAATAGAAAATATAGAAGGTTTTTATTTTATATTATAGCTTGTTAATATCAGTAATTGGAGTTCCTAATTTGTAAGAAACTATAGACTTTGTATTTGGACATTACAAACATCCATTTTGAACCAATGCTGTATTCAACATACAATGTGACACACAGAACCCAATATTTAGGTATGTTCTTATAATATTTACTTTTAAATGAAGAAATTAACTAATGTATAATACTAAAATTTGAATTATAGTCTGCAACTTCATACCAAACTTATTGACATAAATTCATAAAATAGTAGTTCAATAAAATTTTGAATGCAAGTCGAGAAACGTGATGACATGACCTTTGACCCATGATGATATGGTTAATAAACATCTTCAGTGGTACTGAACTTAACCAATGGAAAAAAAATGCACACTGAGAACTAGGTACATAGTGTGCACTTGTGTGTACCCCTATTTCCATCACTGGGCATAACTACAAGAGATGGGCCATCCCACCTAAAAAGTAATTGCCCCCTACATTTTTTCTCTATAATTGTAATTATGATTCTGACTGATTGA